AATGGTCAAGGCTGAATGGCTGGATTAGTTAAGATTTAATGGATGTATAAAATGTCTTACCTGCTATATATGTGGATAATTTTCTGTATTCCATGCTTTTTTAATCAATTTGCAAGGGGACAGAGTTTTGTGGCACTTTGTCAATATATTAAAATTAACACAGTTCTGGGTAAGGCGTCTTTTCATTTGGTTTTTCCAGTATTTAAATGTCAAGGCTGACACTTGACCCATTTCATTTTTCAGTGTGGGTCTGTTAAAATGATAACTGAAACACAGCTTTATTTGGATTTACACAGCCTCTGTAAACATACTATGCATGTATTTGCATCAAGCTTAAAAGGCAGTTTAACTACTATACTGCGCGAGGTTCATCTAGCCTACTGTCTTGTCCAAGAGTAACCACTGTTTATAGCAGGGAGTCATGTCCAGTTACAAGCAGGGATAGGATTTTATCCATCTATGCTAGTCGTTTTACATGAACTTAACTTCACTTTCTAAACATGCTTTCCTTTAACAATTCTGGAAATGCTTAGTCATCTATGCAGCCAGGTGTCTCGGGTACCAGTCCTGTACCTTGCCCAGCTGTCACATCTATTGTAAGAATGTAATCAAAAAAGATGGCATGCAAAAATGCATGGCTGTGAAGGGAGGAATAGGAAGAGAACAGCTTGAACACAGTTTAAAATTGTAGATGAGCCCATGGCTTTCCCTTTTTCTTGCTGTTAAAGATTAGGCTTGGACTCTAGTGCCTCATCTAGTAATCACTTACTTTACAAGTACTGTATTTAAGATGAAGTTTCTTCCCCATTTGGTGGAGGGTGGTTTGTCTTATATTTGTATGTGAGAAAGTCTCATTAACTGTAATGTCTATCACTAAACTGCTGCCAGAAGCAGCATGTACTCAGTAATGGAAACCAGCTATGAAATTGAGTGAATGTAGCTGAGCATGCCTGTAAAACATGGCCCATATTGGGCAAACATGCTGATGGGAACCTACCACAGGGATAGGTTAGTGCAGCCCATCTGAATAAGATATGGTGCCCATTGTGCTTAGTCCCCCTCAGCCACCAGCTTTTCTTCAACTCATGGTGAGCTACATCATTAAATAGGCTGCACGCAGATATTAAAAAAAAAAAAAAAAAGTGATGCTTTAAACTCTGTGCGCCCCACGTCAAGCCCAGCACATGCCCAGAAAAGGCAGCGCATTAGTTGAACCCAACTGGTCCAACATCTGTATAGACTGGGCATTTTAATGGTTTTTTTGTCACAAGTAGTAGCAAAAAGCCCTGCTGAAGGGCCTGATCTATACAGACGTGGCAGAGCCATGTCAAAATAACACACTGCTTCTGGTAAAGCACTGGGGTTTGGTTTTTTTGTTTGGGTTTTTTTTTTTTTGGCCCCCGGGGGGGGGGGGGGGGGGGTGTTTGTTTAACGTCTGCAAGCAGCCATACAGTTCAACTTTTTCACTCGCATGGCTGAGCAGCACCTTTCTTTTCCATTTCTAATTATTCCTATTTTTTCCACCAGCCTTAAACACCTGGTATTTTATTTCAGAGTCAGTGTTTTTTTGGTCCCTTGCTTCAGTTGGCCTCAGGGAGGGAACAGAACCGAAGCAGGGTCTGAGAGTAAGGGGGTGCAGGGAAAGGGGCTGCCTGGGAAAGAAGTTAGTGGAGGACACAGGGCAGGGAGGCCACCTGACACTGCCCCCCCGGGGCCACTGTTTTCCCTGCTGTAGCAGTAGAAGTGGGGGCAAATTCCAGACAAGCCTCCTCTAATTAAATTCTGTACCTGGACAATTTAGACAAATTTCTGTATATATACAGGATCTAATTATTGGGCCGTTGTCTTCAATTCAGGGTCATATTAGATTTGAATAAATGCAGTAGCAATCAAGGCTCTCAGTACTACTGTACTATTTCCATTTTATGGCCAAAGGCGGGGTGGGGGGGGAGAAACAAATCTACTTGCTTAAGCCTACACAATGACCAACAGAGCCACATGTAAAATATTAGTCCTGACCATTTCCTATGTTAATTTTTTTTTTTTAAAGGGGACAAAGTTGGAAGTCTGTAAGTTGTGTATACTTCATGGGAATATCAGATTTTCAAAAGGCAGCCTGTGCAGGGGTTGGGGCGCCTTGCTAAATTGGTCCAGAAACACTAGCATAAGTGTGGAAATGTCAATCTTTCTCCCATTAGTGTTCAATTTTGCTTATATCAGGGGCTTACTGATGGCAATTTTTCCATAAGCTTATTCTAAATTTTGTAACAGATACAGTGAGTCTTTACACCTAAATAGGCTTGCAGCCTGAAAACTTCATTGGCTTCACTATATAAATGCACGCTTACAAGGAAGTCAAACTTGCCAAGCCTGATTTTTGTCCACCTTCTGTTCAACTTTGGAACAGTTCTCCTAAGGAGGCAAGATATTGGGGAAAGGAGAGAAGAGTAATAGAGCACAAAGAGGATTTGGGAAACTTACTGCAAGGTAATGGCTACAGATACAGGCCATACGCATTTTCAGCGACTCCATTCATAGACTCATAGAAAATTAGGGTTGGAAGGGACCTCAGGAGGCCATCTAGTCCAGCCCACTGCTCAAAGCAGGACTTTCCCCAACTAGATTATTCCAGCTAAAGCTTTGTCAAGCTGGGCCTTATAAACCTCCAACGATGGAGATTCACTGCCTCTCTAGGTAATCAGTTCCCATCCTTCACCAGCCTCCTAGTGAGAGAGTTTTTCCTAATATCCAACCTAAACTTCCCTTGCTGCAACTTGAAACCATTGCTCCTTGCTCTGTCATCTGCCACCACTGGTAACAGTTTAGCTCCATCCTCTTTAGAAGCAATCTCTGTGTAGCAGAAGGCTGCTATGCCATGCTCAAGCATTAGACAAATGCAACCGGAGTCAAATTCACCAGGAAAAAAACCTAAAACTGCATTTATATTCTGTGTAGCCAGTAACCCCTATAAACAGTGAACTGACACTGAAATGCATAGAACATTTAACATATACCAACAGCTGAATCTCAAAGCACTCTAAATAATTGGGAAAGCAATTGATCTTGTGAGCCAGCCACATCTATGCTGCTTTAAGACAAGTGTGCAAATACAGATCCAGGGTGGTCTGTTAGAGCTTTCTATATATACTTAAAATCCTGGAACAAGCTACCACATGACTTTAAATTGCACAGCAAGGGGAACAGCTGTAATCAGGCCCACATTAAGAGGCTTCCTTCTGCTAGATGGCCTCCTGAGGTCCCTTCCAACTCAATTTTTCTATGATTCTATACTGCCACCTGTTTTTAGAGGTCTTCCCAGGACTGCTGATTTTCTGCACCTTCTCTGTCCTGAAGGAGTGAAATGGTGGTCGTCCATGAAAGCCACACTCCTACTTCCCTGTTCAGTTTAGATCCATGTTATTCCTCTGAAGTGGTGACAATGCCTAGTGCAATACTTGAAACCTAGTGATTTCTCTCTGTAATATAGGATGGGCTCCATCAGTGGATGGCTGTGTTCTTAATGTATTTTCTGGTGTGCGTTAATCCAATCTGCCTTTTATCTTATTGGTTAATACAGAACCAATTCCATCAAAAGCAGACAGGAGGATCTTGTTGGCATAATTAACTGTTTCCTGATTAAGTTACATTTGAACTTTGTCTCTTAAATTAATAAGTTCATAACTAAAATCTTAAGGCACATATCAAAACATGTTGCTGTGAGTTGCACCCCCCTTGCACAGCACTGAATAGGAAAAAGCAGTGGTAACAGAAGAATGGTGATACATACCATTGTGATTAGCAGTTGACTAATGTAGGTATTTCAACTAAGGGCATGGCCAGGAATGCTCCTCTTTCCTTGTTTGCACAATGCTGCTATAGAAGAAAATGCTGAGGGAACTCAAGGGTCACATTCTACACTGGAACATGTAGATAACATTGATTGCACTGAGCTGAAAGCAGAACTCAACCCATAGAGTCAAAAAGGAAGATAAGGGGTGCTCTTGCACTGTTTAATCCAGCAGTTCCCAACCTCAAGTCACAACCCAAATGAGGGTTGCAGGGGCAATGCCAGCAGCGCCGCACACAAAGAATGAGCCGTGTTGTGTGCCAAGAGTGCCCCCACCCCCTGGCTGCCACCACCGCCACACTCCACTCCCAGCAGCGGGTCACAGCAAAAAAAGGTTGAGAACCACTGGTTAAATCTATAGGCCATCCAAGAAAGCATAGAAAATGCTTTTCAGGCCTAGATCCAAATCCTGTTAATTTTCTGAATCAAAAACAATTCATATGGAAAATAAGAGCATTTTATTCATCTTTAGGTCACTGCTAATACAGATCTGCTCTGTTGTAATCAAAACTTACAATCCAACGGTAGCTTGATGCTCGGCATTAAAAACAGTGAATTAGGCCTCACTTGCATCCCTTAGAGCCTCTATCAAAATGGTCACAAAGGTCAGTAATAATACTGAGTGAAGCCCAAGTGGACTGGCTGACTGAGCTTTTCCACTCTTAGCAGGTGGTGATTCTTGAATTAAAAGACACTGGTGGGGAAGCTCACTGTATTTCCAGAAAGGTCAAACCAGCATCTATTATCAGAATCACCCTTAAGAGAAAATTAATGATGGAAAAGCTAAAGCATGCTGGTTCTCTCAAATGAAGACTTCACTTCACTGGTATTTTAGAGGAAAGTTTTACTTTTCTAACTTCAGTTTGAAAAATACACATAGGACTAACTTAATTAAGCTCTAGATTTACAAGCCATGTTGAAGAGTTGGAACAGTTCCAAAGATTTCACAACTGCTGACAACTCTAAGCAAGAACTAATAGGAATCAAGTCCCCATCTCTCTTGCTGGACTGTAAGCAGAACTGCATTGAGGTACCAGCTTCCCAGCCTCCAGAACCATTATCACGTCCTCTTTCCAATGCTTTACTTGAAGCATATTACTGGAAGAAAAAGGGGTACTAGACTTGGACTCTGCATAGG